ACTGTGCCCAGCAAGTGTGCCATGGTACATTAATATACACTGTGCCCAGCAAGTGTGCCATGGTACATTAATATACACTGTGCCCAGCAAGTGTGCCATGGTACATTAATAAACACTGTGCCCAGCAAGTGGGCCATGGTACATTAATAAACACTGTGCCCAGAAAGTGTGCCATGGTAGATTAATAAACACTGTGCCCATCAAGTATGCCCATGTTTAAAGGCCCTAGCAACCTCGACTTGAAATGCATAGGAAAGTTGCTATGTTCCCGCAGTGACCAAATTTCATGCAATTTTGATGCAAAGGTCACAGACAAACAGTTCCATGAATTTGGCAAGGAAACGGTTCAGGATTTGTTTCCAAAATGTAGCAATATTCATACATTTTAAATTGCATGTATTCTCCACCACATACATGTAGTCTTAAAGCGGCACTGTCATGCCAAACTTACATTTCTTTAATCGCTTTCTCCTCTCTCAGGATCTGTTCTCTGTTTCTTCCTATCTGATCTAGAATGAAACTCCGATCCGATTTTTTCTTTGCCTAGTGTGGCAAAAATCCTTGCACCGGCCCTGCCCCTACTCGCTATATCGCGAGTAGAGACATGTCTACTAAACAATGAGCAGTCAGTGGCCCCACTTGCCACTCATGAGTGGGGGCCAGGGGGGAGGACAATAGGTCCCCCCCATTTTCATTTAGGGCCTCCACTCATCACCCATGGGTGGGGGCAGGGGGGGAGGACAATAGGTGTTCCCCCATTTTCATTTAGGGCCCCCACCCGCCGCTAATGCGTGGGGGCCAAGGGGGACCCTATGTCCCCCATTTATTTGCATAGCTCGTTTACATTTTATAAAGAGGGAGCTGCGCGCCAGTAGCTCCCTCCTTGTAATAAACGAACGAACAAACGAAAACCGATATTCAGTGTTTGTTTGTTCGTCTGAAATTTCTATTCATTCCTTCATCTTTCTGACGAATGAATGAATAGACGAAATTCCCAAAGCGAATGATCAAGTGTATAACTAGTGTGGGCATATGACGTGTCCCACAAGGACTTCATCTACCCACACAAAGACGGGGCACCCAGGACCTAGGTCCGGGCACAAAATGAAGATTAAATAATAGATAATATGGGGGCTTGGGGGCATTTGGGGTGACTATGGGGACAAGTAGATGTAGTGGAGTTGGGAGGGGGTTTTTTAAAAATAAAAATAAAAAATGGATTCGGCCATGACAGTGCTGCTTCAACACAGCACAGAGGACACAAATCTTGTTCCTTATACAGTATATCCCATAACGTGTTCAGGAACCACAGAGTACTGTGCCCTGGGTGCCTCTTTCAGAGAGTAATATTCACTTAAGAGTTAGGTTTGAACGGCATAGCATGTTTACTCGTTTACATACAAATATACACGTCTGAAAAATGTATGGATAATATCGAACAAAAAATTGCAATTGTAGGTGCATGGAATAGCCTTTCAGAAGAAGTGGTACTTTCGCTAATATTGTATTTTCATTAATCCAATCAAAGTAATATCAATAATATATCAATAACTTTTATGTAAGCATCTCTAGTACATTTTGCAGTAATTGCTTTTTAAAGAGCTGTCATTGGTTCCGAGTACAAACACGAGATTAAAGCCCTCAGAATGTCAGTAGCCAATCAAACGGCACATGTGAGAAGCAAACTAAATTAAATGATTTTAGGGATCAGATGGTAACATGATCAGATGTGCTCCTTGGCCTTAATTAGAATTTAGATCAACATCAGACTGGCTTCTAATATAATTTTATATATATATATATATATATATATATATATATGGTGTCTTCCAAAAACATTGTAGCTCTACAGGACAAACAGCATAGCAATTTATATTCGTACTTTAAGCATTACTGTATTTTTTAAATTACTTTTTTGTTTTTTTATCTAAGGTGACAGATGGACGTGTGACCTGTTCCAGTGCGGAATATTACAATGAAAAGCTAGAGGAATGTTGCGCAGTCTGCCAGACAGGTCAGTAAATTTACCGTATACTCCCACCAATAATATATCTATACAGGATGTGATCACGTGGGTTTTTTACCAATATATTGCATTAATAATGTATGAACCGGTCCCAGCAGTCCCTCTCAGTGTTTGGGATTGCTCCCAGGAGTCTCTCTCTCTGTGTTTGGGATTGGTCCCAGGAGTCTCTCTCTCAGTGTTTGGGATTGGTCCCAGGAGTCTCTCTCTCAGTGTTTGGGATTGGTCCCAAGAGTCTCTCTCAGTGTTTGGGATTGGTCCCAGGAGTCTCTCTCTCAGTGTTTGGGATTTCTCCCAGGAGTCTCTCTCTCAGTGTTTGGGATTGCTCCCAGGAGTCTCTCTCTCAGTGTTTGGGATTGGTCCCAGGAGTCTCTCTCACAGTGTTTGGGATTGGTCCCAGGAGTCTCTCTCTCAGTGTTTGGGATTGGTCCCAGGTGTCTCTCTCTCAGTGTTTGGGATTGGTCCCAGGAGTCTCTCTCTCAGTGTTTGGGATTGGTCCCAGGGGTGTCTCTCTCACAGTGTTTGGGAATGGTCCCAGGAGTGTCTCTCTCAGTGTTTGGGATTGGTCCCAGGAGTGTCTCTCTCAGTGTTTGGGATTGCTCCCAGGAGTCTCTCTCTCAGTGTTTGGGATTGCTCCCAGGAGTCTCTCTCTCAGTGTTTGGGATTGCTCCCAGGAGTCTCTCTCACAGTGTTTGGGATTGGTCCCAGGCGTGTCTCTCTCAGTGTTTGGGATTGGTCCCAGGAGTCTCTCTCTCTGTCTTTGGGAGTGGTCCCAGGGGTGTCTCTCAGTGTTTGGGATTGGTCCCAGGAGTCTCTCTCAGTGTTTGGGATTGGACAATCTCATATCTTACTGGAAGGGGTGCTGTAGGATGGGTGATGTTTCCCAGGGGTGTCTCTCAATGTTTGGGATTGGTCCCAGGAGTCTCTCTCTCAGTGTTTGGGATTGGTCCCAGGAGTCTCTCTCTCAGTGTTTGGGATTGGTCCCAGGAGTCTCTCTCTCAGTGTTTGGGATTGGTCCCAAGAGTCTCTCTCAGTGTTTGGGATTGGTCCCAGGAGTCTCTCTCTCAGTGTTTGGGATTTCTCCCAGGAGTCTCTCTCTCAGTGTTTGGGATTGCTCCCAGGAGTCTCCTCTCAGTGTTTGGGATTGGTCCCAGGAGTCTCTCTCTCAGTGTTTGGGATTGGTCCCAGGAGTCTCTCTCTCAGTGTTTGGGATTGGTCCCAAGAGTCTCTCTCAGTGTTTGGGATTGGTCCCAGGAGTCTCTCTCTCAGTGTTTGGGATTTCTCCCAGGAGTCTCTCTCTCAGTGTTTGGGATTGCTCCCAGGAGTCTCTCTCTCAGTGTTTGGGATTGCTCCCAGGAGTCTCTCTCACAGTGTTTGGGATTGGTCCCAGGAGTCTCTCTCACAGTGTTTGGGATTGGTCCCAGGAGTCTCTCTCTCAGTGTTTGGGATTGGTCCCAGGAGTCTCTCTCTCAGTGTTTGGGATTGGTCCCAGGAGTCTCTCTCTCAGTGTTTGGGATTGGTCCCAGGGGTGTCTCTCTCACAGTGTTTGGGAATGGTCCCAGGAGTGTCTCTCAGTGTTTGGGATTGGTCCCAGGAGTGTCTCTCTCAGTGTTTGGGATTGCTCCCAGGAGTCTCTCTCTCTCAGTGTTTGGGATTGCTCCCAGGAGTCTCTCTCTCAGTGTTTGGGATTGCTCCCAGGAGTCTCTCTCACAGTGTTTGGGATTGCTCCCAGGAGTCTCTCTCACAGTGTTTGGGATTGGTCCCAGGCGTGTCTCTCTCAGTGTTTGGGATTGGTCCCAGGAGTCTCTCTCTCTGTCTTTGGGAGTGGTCCCAGGGGTGTCTCTCAGTGTTTGGGATTGGTCCCAGGAGTCTCTCTCAGTGTTTGGGATTGGACAATCTCATATCTTACTGGAAGGGGTGCTGTAGGATGGGTGATGTTTCCTCATTCTCCTCCCCAAATCTCAGCTCCCTTGTTTGTTTTGTAGGAAATAGCAAATCCTGTGTGAATTTTAAGATTCTCAGTGGATTGTTGAGACTATCAGACAGGATTATTTACTAAAGCGAGAATTCAGAGTGAATTTAAAATTTAAAGCCAGAGTAGCCGAACTGAAATCATGGGTTGATTACAGAATTGTTCTAGTTTGGCTACTTTAGGCTCCACAAAAAAAATCCAGAGCACTTAAAACATTATACAAACACGCCAGCTTGCTGTCATTCTGGCGTGCATGGGCTCTGGGTCAATGTGCGTTGTCCATGACTCTAATTATGCTAGTATCAGACCTGACAATGTTGGCATGTGCTCTGGGTCAATGCGCGTTGTCCATGACGCTAATGATCCCAATATCAGACCTGACAATGTTGGCCTGTGCTCTGGGTCAATGCGCGTTGTCCATGATGCTAATTTCCCAATATCAGACCTGACAATGTTGGCATGTGCTCTGGGTCAATGCGCGTTGTCCATGATGCTAATTTCCCAATATCAGACCTGACAATGTTGGCATGTGCTCTGGGTCAATTTGCGTTGTCCATGACGCTAATTTCCCAGTATTAGACCTGACAATGTTGGCATGTGTTCTGGGTCAATGCGCGTTGTCCAATGATGCTAATTATCCCAATATCAGACCTGACAATGTTGGCCTGTGCTCTGGGTCAATGTGCGTTGTCCATGATGCTAATTTCCCAATATCAGACCTGACAATGTTGGCCTGTGCTCTGGGTCAATGCGCGTTGTCCATGATGCTAATTTCCCAATATCAGACCTGACAATGTTGGCCTGTGCTCTGGGTCAATGCGCGTTGTCCATGATGCTAATTTCCCAATATCAGACCTGACAATGTTGGCCTGTGCTCTGGGTCAATGTGCGTTGTCCATGATGCTAATTTCCCAATATCACACCTGACAATGTTGGCCTGTGCTCTGGGTCAATGCGCGTTGTCCATGATGCTAATTTCCCAATATCAGACCTGACAATGTTGGCATGTGCTCTGGGTCAATGCACGTTGTCCATGACGCTAATGATCCCAATATCAGACCTGACAATGTTGGCATGTGCTCTGGGTCAATGCGCATTGTCCATGATGCTAATTATCCCAATATCAGACCTGACAATGTTGGCATGTGCTCTGGGTCAATGCGCGTTGTCCATGACGCTAATTTCCCAATATCAGACCTGACAATGTTGGCATGTGCTCTGGGTCAATGCGCGTTGTCCATGATGCTAATTATCCCAATATCAGACCTGACAATGTTGGCATGTGCTCTAGGTCAATGTGCGTTGTCCATGATGCTAATTTCCCAATATCAGACCTAACAATATTGGCATGTGCTCTGGGTCAATGCGCGTTGTCCATGACGCTAATTTCCCAATATCAGACCTGACAATGTTGGCATGTGCTCTGGGTCAATGCGCATTGTCCATGACGCTAATTTCCCAATATCAGACCTGAAAATGTTGGCCTGTGCTCTGGGTCAATGCGCGTTGTCCATGACGCTAATTATCCCAATACCAGACCTGACAATTTGGCAGACAGGAAAGAAAAAGACTGAACCCGCATCTCACATGTTCTTTTCTTTTTATTTAGGATTTGAGAAACGTCATTTGTGCATAAAAGACCCAAGTAAGGATTGCAAGCAGCCATGCCCTAAGGGATATTACATCAACTGGGAAGATCGTCCAGCTAGATGTTGCTACTGCGCCAATTGCAAGCAAGGTAATTCATTCTAACGATCGAGACTTGAGGTCGACTGCACCCAGCTTAGATTATATTATTTTCCTGCAAATTTTATCAAACTGCATTTGAACAATCCACCAGGGAGGAAAAAGTTAGCTATTGATGTTCTAAACATTTCTCTTTCAGTGTAGAATCCATTTAGTAGAGATATAAATATGAGGCAGAGGCTACAGCTCCTGAAACATTGGAAAGCACTATTTCTAGAAGGTCATGGTCACACTCAAAGTATTATTCTTTTAATATTCCTGTAAAATGTAGATTTGGGGGAATTCAAATTGAATTTCAAATTTTAAACCAAAATAGCCAAACCGAAAATAAAAAAATCTAACTTTGAGAATATTTTCGATTCAACAATTTTGGCCTTAAAATTTAAAATGCTCTTTGAATTTCCAAAAAGTCCCTTAAATCAATAACCCTGTAACCCTCTACCTAGGAAGTTATGGGTTCACCTCAAAACAGCTAAGACTGGAGGTTGACACTTTTATACCTCAAAACACTGTTTGGTTACCATGGCAACCAGTGCAGGCCGCCTGTTATAGAGTGTTTAGGAGTTTCATATCTCCTTTACTTTATGTCTGTTCTGGTAACAATGTTTATGTGTCTTCCAGATCCTGATCTTATAGAGGTACAACCTTGTTCCGCTAGTTCCAACGCAATTTGCCATTGTCGACCTGGTTTCTACTGTAAAACCCCTTTAGAGAATACGTGTGCGCGGTGCGTGTCCCACCAGAAATGTACGCCGGGATTCAGGGTAAAGAAAGCAGGTAATGGGTGCAAGAAAAATGCTTAAAGGTCGACTCTACAACCACGCCCAAGGGTGGACAGAGTAATGTAAAACTCGAACAGTTTTTAAACAAATACTATTCTATAAAATGATATTCTTCTTCGTTACGCACATGCCGGTATCACTAATTATACCACTTTCCTGTTGTATAAAAGAGTTTTTATTTCCTATGTTAGTCTTGTGATCTCTGTGATTTTGCTTTATCATTATTTGAACAATGTGAGACATGGTGGTTATAGTGCAGAGAGTGATGTATCCAGGGCTGTAATTATGAGATGCAGTGTTATAGATAAACCAATAGGATTAGGGTGGCTGTGGGTTAGGGATGTTTATCTTTAGGGGGATTTGGTGTTAATAGAGCCTACAAATAAATACTTTCTAGCTAACCTTAACTCTGGTGACACTGCCCTATTGAGCACAGCGCCATTCCCGCGCCATTAAATGATGATGAATAAATCTAAACTTTATATGCAAATCCTGCATGGCAGAGTTCCACGAGAGCATTTTAGGGGAGGTTTATCAATCCACGCCATGTGCTATTCTGGGCACAAACTGCTAAATGCTGAGACATCCTACTGGTTCTCACTCTGATCATTCTGATTATTTATCACTTTGTCCCAGAACAGCACTTGATATATTTCACATCGTCAAGAGGGGACTCCATTTACTGGATCTGGGCCATTTCACTTTATACAGAAAAGGTTTATTAAACTGGAAATTGATTAAACTGCACAGTTCAGGCCTAAAATCAGCTCGGTCAGTTTTGCACAATTCTAGTTTAATTTAGTGGGAAAAAAGCAGACGAATATAATTAATAATATGTGGTTAAATTTGCCAAACAGGACAAAAGAGATAAAATACATCTGATTCTTTTTAATTCATATTCACATTTACTACTCTAGATTGAAAGATCATATGAACAGGGTCCCTCATCTACCTATTGTTCCTGGAACAATTTGTAATTCTCTCTTTATTGTACAATTCACCCTTAATAAAGCACTGCTAATAGACTGACACTGTATAAATACCAATGAGAATAATATATGGTCCCATACTACATAGTATGTATATAAAAACCGTCAAATCAATGTCTATGTTTGCAGGGAACGCATTCAATGACACAGTGTGTGAAGAGTGTCCGCTAGGATCACATTCCAATGGTTCTGAAGGATGTAAATCTCACACAACGTAAGGACTAACTCCATGAAACCTTCATATGGCCAGGGAATAGCCATGGGTGGGATCTCAGGGAATTATATCACATGGCTGGCTCCCTCCCAGACCTTCCCACCTCCTGGACAGCTCACTAAGAATGCAGCTTCAAAATGGATGCTGTCCAGGAGGTGGGAGGGTCTGTGAGGGAGGGTCTGCTGCTGATTGGCTTGAATGTGTCAGCTGACTGGAGTCCGCGGCGAACCGTTCGTGGCGAACAGTTCGCGAACCGTTCAGCGAACAGTTCAGGACATCACTAGCTGGGATCTCAGGGTATTATATCACATGACTGGGATCTCAGGGTATTATATCACATGACTGGGATCTCAGGGTATTATATCACATGGCTGGGATCTCAGGGTATTATATCACATGACTGGGATCTCAGGGTATTATATCACATGGCTGGGATCTCAGGGTATTATATCACATGACTGGGATCTCAGGGTATTATATCACATGGATGGGATCTCAGGGTATTATATCACTGGATGGGATCTCAGGGTATTATATCACATGACTAGGATCTCAGGGTATTATATCACATGACTAGGATCTCAGGGTATTATATCACATGGCTGGGATCTCAGGGTATTATATCACATGGCTGTGATCTCAGGGTATTATATCACATGGCTGGGATCTCAGGGTATTATATCACATGGCTGGGATCTCAGGGTATTATATCACATGGCTGAGATCTCAGGGTATTATATCACATGGATGGGATCTCAGGGTATTATATCATATGACTGGGATCTCAGGGTATTATATCACATGGCTGGGATCTCAGAGTGTTATATCACATGGCTGGGATCTCAGGGTATTATATCACATGGCTGGGATATTAGGGTATTTTAGTCAAAAAGAATAGAAAACACATAATTTTATATCAAAAGAAAAATAACAGCATTTGCATTTTTTTCAGTCGACTTCTCAAACCAACAATGCAGAATTTTGTACGAAATAAAACGAGTAAACGTACACCAGATCTCTATTTAACTGCCCACAAACCCCTCACAACCCGGCATCAACATGTGACTGTCAGTCACTCAATGGCAACAACTGGATCTGATTCTGTGTCTTTGGTACCAACTGTTATGGCAGATACTGGTATGTAAAATACAGTAAAAACTTTTCTTTTTACCAATTTGATTGTAAGTGTGCATGCAACAGCCGAAAAGGATATGAGTAACTCTCACTGTCAGAAAGATGTCTAAATAGTAACTAATAATCATTATTCTGGCAATGACATAATAGGAGGATGTCCCCCAATTGCCCAATTATTTCACAGCAGCAAACTGTGTGATTCTGAAATCCTGAGACTCGCCCTTAGAAACTTGACATTAATCTTGAAACCCTGTTAATATGGCCTGTGGCAGTGTGAGGGGACACTGCTATATTAGCCCCAGAATGGCACTTTCGGTGTTCCCTGAATGGAGGGGGTTAAAAATCAGGTTGCTTTAGTACATCAATTAGGGAGCTACATAAACCCTATGCAGAGGGAAATCAGTCTCTCCTGTGAAGAGCTGGGGTAGAGACAGAGAGACTGCTGAAACTGTGTGGAAAGTAAAGGTATTTTGCAAGCCTTTATTTTTATTTGTTAAACTACTGGGGTCAGCTTTTTGCCCATGCACACGGGAGCCTGCCCATTCATTTTGATAATCTTCCCATTGACACAGACATCCTGATACATTCTATTACTGCTTCAGGTTCCAAGACACTTGTAAAATACCTCGCCTGTTAGTGTATACTCCCCTAACACGTGTACCTTTTCTGATATGTGTATACCTTTCCAGGTACTTTGTTTCCGTGGTACATCGTGGGGGGGATTATCTGTTTACTAATCCTGGTAATAAGTCTCAGATTTGCTTGGAAGCAGAATATTTGGAAAATGAAACCATTGATTTCAAATCAGAAAGGTAAGAGATTAGCTAATCATTTTCAGACATTTCATCACAGAGGATCCTTTTTTTCTGTTTAGTAACATTATAAAATAAACCGTCACAGTCAGAGAATGCAGCAGGAAGTATCTAAGGTACCGGCCACCAACTGACCTATTGATGCACCCCTTACCGGTATTTATCTACAGATTATTTCTTTATTGAGGTTCTTTGAATTCAACTAATTGCACCAACTCACATTGCTAGTATAATGGAGGGGCGTCAAGAATCCCTTGCTGCTGATAACATCATCAAATGTCATAGTGTAGTCACCACCAGAAGTCATAGTAACAGTCAACCACTAGTAACTGCCACAGTATCAGTTAGTCAGCACTAATTACCATGCTACTCGTTACAAACAATCAACTGCCATATGGACATTCACTCCCCATCAACTGCCATATGGACATTCACTCCCCATCAACTGCCAGAATGAACATTCACTCCCCATCAACTGCCAGAATGAACATTCACTCCCCATCAACTGACATATGGACATTCACTCCCCATCAACGGCCAGAATGAACATTCACTCCCCATCAACTGCCAGAATGAACATTCACTCCCCATCAACTGCCAGAATGAACATTCACTCCTCATCAACTGCCAGAATGAACATTCATTCCCCATCAACTGCCAGAATGAACATTCACTCCCCATCTACTGCCAGAATGAACATTCACTCCCTATCAACTGCCAGAATGAACATTCACTCCCCTTCAATTGCCATATGGACATTCACTCCCCATCAACTGCCATATGGACATTCACTCCCCATCAACTGCCAGAATGAACATTCACTCCCCATCAACTGCCAGAATGAACATTCACTCACCACCAACTGCCAGAATGAACATTCATTCCCCATCAACTGCCAGAATGAACATTCATTCCCCATCAACTGCCAGAATGAACATTCACTCCCCATCTACTGCCAGAATGAACATTCACTCCCCTTCAACTGCCATATGGACATTCACTCCCCATCAACTGCCATATGGACATTCAATCCCCATCAACTGCCAGAATGAACATTCACTCCCCACCAACTGCCAGAATGAACATTCACTCCCCACCAACTGCCAGAATGAACATTCACTCCCCACCAACTGCCAGAATGAACATTCACTCCCCATCAACTGCCATATGGACATTCACTCCTCATCAACTGCCAGAATGAACATTCACTCCCCACCAACTGCCAGAATGAACATTCACTCCCCACCAACTGCCAGAATGAACATTCACTCCCCATCAACTGCCATATGGACATTCACTCCCCATCAACTGCCAGAATGAACATTCACTCCCCATCAACTGCCAGAATGAACATTCACTCCCCACCAACTGCCAGAATGAACATTCATTCCCCATCAACTGCCAGAATGAACATTCATTCCCCATCAACTGCCAGAATGAACATTCACTCCCCATCTACTGCCAGAATGAACATTCACTCCCCTTCAACTGCCATATGGACATTCACTCCCCATCAACTGCCATATGGACATTCAATCCCCATCAACTGCCAGAATGAACATTCACTCCCCACCAACTGCCAGAATGAACATTCACTCCCCACCAACTGCCAGAATGAACATTCACTCCCCACCAACTGCCAGAATGAACATTCACTCCCCATCAACTGCCATATGGACATTCACTCCTCATCAACTGCCAGAATGAACATTCACTCCCAACTGCCAGAATGAACATTCACTCCCCACCAACTGCCAGAATGAACATTCACTCCCCACCAACTGCCAGAATGAACATTCACTCCCCATCAACTGCCATATGGACATTCACTCCCCATCAACTGCCAGAATGAACATTCACTCCCCATCAACTGCCAGAATGAACATTCACTCACCACCAACTGCCAGAATGAACATTCACTCAGATTGTTGTTCACGAATACCAAAAACATATAATGTAGCGCAAATTCACAATCTTAATGTCTTCATGTTCCCTTTAGGCTCTATACTGCATATCAAAGGCCTTGAATATTAACATAGGTATCGGTGTGACAATCATGAACAACCGAAAAAGGCAAATGCTCTGCCTGTGTGTATTCACAAGGAACATGATGATATTTTTTAATTAATTATGACACTTCTTAAAAATGCCACCTGAAGTTAAAAATAATCTGTTTGTGCTGTTGCATAGAGTTACTTACATAATATTTAATAACTGTTATTTTATTTTATTTCAATATCTTTTTAAAATTCTACATTTCTTTTGCAGGTCTTCAGCTTTATAAATTCCCTTCTGTAAGTATATTTATTGTGCGAATTATACAAGTAAAATAAGGGTTTATGTAACATCACCGTATATGCAATACAAGTTAATTAAAATCTATTTTACAAATATGCTAACTGGCTGGCACTAACAGTGCTAATAATTTATTAAAATTTTTTACTTTTTATTGCAGTTTGAGATGGGCTGAATATTCTCTTATATTTGGATGAGCTTTTCAAATGATTCAATCTTTTTGAATAAACTTTTTTTTAAAGTATAAAAAAATATACCAATATATAGGGAAAAAAAATTAAATATTCAATCAGTTTAAACATTTAGCCAAAAATAGTAAATCGAGGCCTTCAATATTTTTCCAGCTCAAATTTGCTAATTTTTTTACATTTCTCTGATTTAGGGAATTAACCCTTTTGTGTGCATCGCTAGTTATGACATGAAATCGGTCGGAATTTTGACAAAGTTGGATTCTGACAGTTTTCCACAAACTCCCACAATGCACTGCCAGACTGATCCTATGATCCGCTACTGCAGTGTGTCCGGCAACGTCCCTGGCAATTAGCTCCAAAATGTTCAAAGGAGGTTGGAATTACTAAATAGACCACTAGGGGGCACCAGCCCAGGGGATTAGCAAAGCCTGTTTGATTAGACTCAGTACGCACAAGAGGGTATCATACTTTGTGCATAGGTCATCTGTACTCATAGAGCATAGAGCATAGCGTGTCTACTTGAATCTAACTTTATTGGCAAAATAAAGTTTCCAAAATTTGAATGCACATAAGATCCGATGGTGCATTAGATTCCAGTATGGGGCAAAATTTGCATTTCCCCTTTCGTACTCTCAATCTAATGTGCCAAAATCCGCTGCATTTCATCATTTTTCAATTCCAAAACCTATCCCAACATAGAGCAAGGATCAACTTTACTTATTCTACATCTCTGAAAAACAGCAAGACAGAATGTGGACCCAATGCCACAGCAAAGCAGATAAAAAATGATAAGCTGAATATTGCGCACTTTGAAGTAAATTTACTGAATCCATGCTTGAGAATACCCCAAACTCTCCAGTAACTCAGTAAGATTAGCCCAAGCCTAAAAACATTGCTAGCTCTGCAGGTTCCATCTATTTGTAGTAATCTCTGTAGTGGCCACACTTTAATTTATTACTGAACAATCTGTAGGCTACGTATTATGAAACTGCACATGATCATTTTCCTCTAAAATACCTCAAAATTCGCATCACTGCTAAGGGATGCGAGCAAGACTTGGTTTCTGTGTACACATCTTCTTGTACAAATGTGCAAAATCATTTTTTGGCTTCCAGGTTTCAAAAATTGAAGTGCGCATTAAATTAGAGTAAGTACGATATTATTGGTTTTAAGGTGACATTCTAAATGTTCGGTGGCATCGGTAACTTTCAACAGAAGCAACCTGCAACCTACAATAAAATAACAGTTTGGATAAATAATTTGCTTTATATTTAAAATGGCTATACAGTATCTCACAAAAGTGAGTACACCCCTAAGTGGAAATGTCCAAATTGGGCCCAAAGTGTCAATATTTTGTGTGGCCACCATTATTTTCCAGCACTGCCTTAACCCTCATAGGCATGGAGTTCGCCAGAGCACCACAGGTTGCCACTGGAGTCCTCTTCCACTCCTGTCCATGACGACATCACGGAGCTGGTGGATGTTAGAGACCTTGCGCTCCCCCACCTTCCGTTTGAGGATGCCCTACAGATGCTCTATAGGGTTTAGGTCTGGAGACATGCTTGGCCAGTCCATCACCTTTACCTTCAGCTTCTTTAGCAAGGCAGTGGTCATCTTAGAAGTGTGTTTGGGGTCGTTATCATGTTTCAAACACTGCCTTGCAGCCAAGTCTCCGAAGGGAGGGGATCATGCTCTGTTTCAGTATGTCACAGTACATGTTGGCACTCATGCAGGCCCAGACTATGACACTCCCACCACCATGCTTGACTGTAGGCAAGACACACTTGTCTTTGTACTTCTCACCTGGTTGCTGCCACACAATCTTGACACCATCTGAACCAAATAAGTTTATCTTGGTCTCATCAGACCACAGGACATGGTTCCAGTAATCCATGTCCTTAGTCTGCTTGTCTTCAGCAAACTGTTTGCGGGCTTACTTGTGCATCATCTTTAGAAGAGGCTTCCTTCTGGGACGACAGCCATGCAGACCAATTTGATGCAGCATGCAGTGTATGGTGTGAGCACTGGCAGGCTGACCCCCCACCCCTCCAACCTCTGCAGCAATGCTGGCAGCACTCATTTGTCTATTTCCCAAAGACAACCTCTGGATATGATGCTGAGCACATGCACTCAACTTCTTTGGTCGACCACGGCAAGGCCTGTTCTGAGTGTAACCTGTCCTGTGAAACCACTGTATGGTGTTGCCCACCGTGCTGCAGCTGAGTTTCAGGGTCTTGGCAATCTTCTTATAGCTTAGGCCATCTTTATGTAGAGTAAGAATTCTTTTTTTTCAGATCCTCAGAGAGTTCTTTGCCATGAGGTGCCATGCTGAACTTCCAGTGACCAGTATGAGAAAGTGTGAGAGCGATAACACCAAATTAAACACACTTGCTCCCCATTCACACCTGAGACCTTGTAACACTAACGAGACACATGACTCTGGGGAGGGAAAATGGCTAATTTGGCCCAATTTGGACATTTCCACTTAAGGGTGTACTCACTTTTGTTGCCAACGGTTTAGACATTAATGGCTGTGTGTGGAGTTATTTTGAGGGGACAGCAAATTTACCCTGTTATACCGGCTATACACTTACTACTTTACATTGTAACAGAGTGTAATTTCTTCGGTGTTGTCACATGAAAAGATATAATGAGATATTTACAAAAATGTGAGGGGTGTACTCACTTTTGTGAGATACTGTATGTATTTTTTTTAACAAATTATTATTCCTGTCTTGTTTTGATACCCTCTGTATCGCTGTCAGTGATAATCTATACCTATCACATTTGCCCTTTACAGAAAAAAAACACAAATCTGTTTAAGTACAGAGAGGAACATATGAAGGATGGTTTGCTCTGCAAGGAAAATACCGTCCCAGAGCCAGACGTTTTCGTGAAGAGAGAGACGGACACGCAGAGTGACAGTGAGCGCTTTCTACGAGATAAGCCTGATGTTCACGACAGGGATCACTTGACTAACAGAATAGGTGAGATTTATAAAGAATCTACACAGCCGGGAAGGTATAGCTACATATGTAGCTATGACAATGCATAAAGTGCAAGAAAAATGTTCGTTTATGAAAGTACTCTGCTGACACATACTGAACAACTGCTATGGAGAATGGGTTATTTGCATATTTGGAGATTTCATAAAAGTGACATATTTATAGAGAATTGCCGATCTGACCTAAAAAAAAAAGTGCCACAGAAATTCCCCCGCAGCAGGAGGCTTCTGACAGATTAAGCAAGTTCAGACTGGCCGAGCCTAGTGGGTGATGTAACTCGCCAACATCCCTGGTTTGGACCATCAACCCCTTTTAGGCATTGAACACCTAGTACCGGTATGGAATGTCCAAGGGGCAGAGGTTGGACCCCACTTACTATTAGTCCCCTCTACCTTAGTAAACATCAGATTGAGAAGGCTCCTCGTTGACCAAGTAGTGGAAGAGATCTCTGATGTTGCAAGTTCTCAATATGTTTGAGAAAGGGGAAAGTCACTGACATTCCTTGAACAAAAAATAAAATAATATTAAGAGTACTTTCAATAGTATCACAGTAATATGTAACATGCCCAAAAACCCAACCTGATTTCATGTTTTTCTGTTTTTTGTTTTGTATAGAAAAGATCTACATTATGAAGGCTGACACGGTGCTTGTGGGATCGATCTCAGAAGTTCCAAACCGTCAGATAACTGTATCCAGTGATTCTGAGAGTCATTCAGCTCAAATAACTGTATCGAGCGAGTATGAAAGTCATTCAGATCAATGTAAAGAGAACACAATGTTTGCGTCACATTACCCCCAACAGGAATCCGGCAAAGGTCCAGTAAATGACCTCAGGCTTTCGATTGAAGAGGAGGGAAAGACCAAAAATGATTCTTCGAGTCTGTGTGTGTGACAGAGGGACAATCCACCGTGAAATGTTTGTCTTGGCAGTCTGCAGATGAATCATCTGTGAGATTTCAGTCTGACGTGACAGAGCTACTTGCTCAACAGGGATTTAATAAGGATGCCAAGTGATTGTAGTTACGTCAGGGGAAGTCATAGATGGACCTGAATACAAAGGATCCTGGGAAACAAACTCCCAACCTATGACCAACATCACCTCTCGAAAGTGGTTATGAATGGGCCAGAGTGTTGGCTGCGCAGATCAGTTTAATCCTGTCAGGAATACATGCACTGCACATGTTTGTAGGTCAACTATCATGTAATCACAGGAATTGTGAAGATAAATGGATTTTGCAGTGTTTTTATTGTTGTTTTTTTTTAAACTGATGTACATGGAAGATTGTGGTGTACAGAGGTGGTTTTGTCGCCACTTGCACCATAGCTGGCCACATGTGGTCCCTTTGCTCTCGCTGTAGAACAGGTCTCATAATTTGACTTGCAGGGAATTATGGGAAAGGTAGTACAATGACAGTCATTGGATCATGGCCCGGATATTTGCATCAATAATAAAATGTTGCAACTGGCTTTACTCTGAGTGTTCTTCCTCTGTGCTCCCCTGGCCTTTGCAGCGTGTAAAAAGTGGTGCATTTCATTTGGGAACGGGTATAAATAAGAGGGCGCCCTATTACAAACCCTCATTGTACCGCACATATCAAAGATTTTTAGTATACATGCACCCCAAATACACTAAGTTTGCAATTGTTTGACTCAACTTCTACCAATTAAAACACTAAAAGTGAATTGTAAGAGAAATCTAAAATCAAGACCAAAGCAGCTTTAATCCAGTTTGATCTTAAATTTAAAACGCACTTTGAATTCACTGAGAAGTCTCACTTTAGTGAATAATCCTAAAAGTGCCTTTCTGCAGATGGTCAGAGCAGCCACGTGGTGCAATGTGTAGATTATTTTTATTTTTTTTTAAATTCTTTATTTTTGTTGTGCAGGTAGGTACAGTTTGTTGACGGTCGCCACAACAGCGTATTGCAAGATACAAAACATTTGAACATTGGCATGAGAATTCGTATACACATTTTTTTTTTTTTTTGGTTATGCTAGAATATACATGTCGATGCAGTAAGTGTTGCTAACGTGCCATGATATATACAGACGATTAGTCATGAATGCTAGATCTACTACGTTATCGTAGTCGAGCTTTGTAAACATGGTTAGCAGTTAATAAATGAGAAAATGCATTTAAAAGGTAAACTACGTGTATGTTGTTTTATCGTTGAGAGCAGTTAGTGGGATCCGTACAATTGTAAGAGGTATTGCTGTCATGTACAGGAGCACCTTTGCAATGGAATAGTAGCTGTTATAAGACTTTATGGTGAGTGGGTGATTTGCTTGTGGTTAATATGCTGCAGCGTTTGCTCCCCTGTGCTAACCGGCTCTGCTGCTATGTGCCAGAGCCTTACTGTAAAACTTATTGTAGTGTGTGGTCTCGCGGTGTCCCTGTTGCAGGGCCTGCGGGGACGCAGATAGCCCCTGTGTCAGCCCGTCTTGGGCCAGGTGTGGTTGATGGCATTGTGCTGCCTCAGTGCCGCCCATGGTGAATGTGAGCCTCTTAAGTAGGCCTGTCCCCCTAAAATGTACTGTTAGACCATAAACTATATACAAAATGTAATGCAATCGTAGAGAGGTAAATTAACGAAAAAGAAGACCAAAACAACAAGTGAATAGCCGGTGAGGCTCGGCCATCCCCTTCGGAAGCACTTAGGTGGTGGCTACAGTCTGTGCGGCGTGGGTGGACCCCCCAGGAACAAAAGGTTTGGAGGTAGCCGGATTCCATTTGAGTGGTTTAGGGTTTGTGGGGCGTCGTCGTATGGCGTCTGCCGGGAGCCCCAGAGTGGGAAGGTGGGCCTCCGCCTCTTGTAAGTCCGCGATGAGGTACGTGGTGTCTCCCTGATGCACTTGAAGCTTGTGGGGTGAGCGCCATCTGTATTTGATATCTCGCTCGCGGAGCAGGGTGGTGAAAGGCCTAAGGGTTGAGCGCCAGGCCATGGTTCCCCTGGATAAGTCCGGGTAAAAGGAGAGAGTCATGTCCTCAAATGTGAGCGGAGTAGTGTTCCTAATGGCGGCCATTACTGCTTCTTTGTCCTGTCGCTTCTGGAATTTGACTATTAGATCCCTAGTTGCTGCTGATGGGGCCATTGGTGGTTTAGGGATTCTAAATATGCCGTCGAAGCCTACTCCCTTGGCTTGCTTTGGTGGCAGTATTTTACTCACCAGGCGCCGCATGAGGTGGGGGAGTTCAGAGTCTGGAACTGATTCTGCGATGCCTCTGACCTTAAGGTTCTGGGCACGTCGCGAGTCTTCCATTGCCGCCATAGCCCCTTCTACCTTCAAGTGCTGTTGCTGCAGCATTTTCATCTCCTGCTGGAGGGAGGTCACTTGCCTGGTATGCGTGTGGGAGTTCTGCTCCACAGTGTCCACGCGGTCCGTAAGGCCCTTTATGTCTCTCCTCATGTCGGCTACGTCCTCCTGAATATTTTGGCGGAGTTCCGCCAGTAGCTCCCTCATTTCGGCTTTCGTGACCGGAGCTGAGTCAGGCTGCGCGGCCTGCTTTGGGTTAGGCTTCTCCGGCGGCCACCTTGCTGGTGAGCAGGGCTCGTCTGGGTCAGAGAGCAGGTCGTCTGAGTCTTCTAGGCCTTCTATGTAAGTGGCCATGTCAGGCTCTGGTGCGCCATGTGCCCGCCGCCATAGGTCTCCTATGCTAGCGCCCGGCCGGGGCAAATCGGGCTTGGGTTTTTTTGTCTTCCTGCCCATTACTGCTACTTGTGTGGGTAGCTGGGGTGCTTTGGGGGGTGATATTTCCAAGGTTAATTGGTCGTTTTAGGCCGTTATCGCCAGGAGCTCCCTTCAGATGCGACCTGTCGGTTCGGCTGCTGGCTCCGCCCCCCGCAATGTGTAGATTATGTTGTGTTTATGGTTTTTCAGTTTGTTTAGCTCCATCCCTTCAATGGTGCTTAACCCCCAAGTTTGAAAACAAACAAACTACCGAACAGAGTCAATAGTCTTACCCTGGAGCTTGTTCCCTTCATCCAGGCGGAGGATCTCACCGCACACCTGACCATGATACAGTCAGGTCCGTAAATATTGGGACATCAACACAATTGTAATCTTTTTGGCTCTATACACCACCACAATGGATTTGAAATGAACAAGTTGTGCTTTAAATGCAGACTTTCAGCTTTAATTTGAGGGTATTTACATCCAAATCAGGTGAACGGTGTAGGAATTACAACAGTTTGTATATGTGCCTCCCACTTTTCAAGGGACTAAAAGTAATGGGACAATTGGCTGCTCAGCTGTTCCATGGCCAGGTATGTGTTATTCCTTCATTATCCCATTTACAAGGAGCAGATAAAAGGTCCAGAGTTCATTTCAAGTGTGCTATTTGCATTTGGAATCTGTTGCTGTCAACTCTCAATATGAGATCCAAAGAGCTGTCACTATCAAGCCATCATTAGGCTGAAAAAACAAAACAAACCTGTAACGGCAGCCCCAGGCATAATAGGGTTAAACCGCCGTTTAGAAGATCTTCCCCTTCCAGAGACACAGGCAGCTACTGTAGACACCAATCCACTGAACCGGAGAAGCCTATGAATGCTCTCAAACATACGAATGCTGTAGACAGACGAATAGGAAAAACCATACATATAGGTTTACACTCCTAGCAGTCAAACTGGAACAGCATACAGTAAATCCCCCCAAGAACGAGACAAAGCTCTGTGTTGGGGGTCAAGCAGTGAAGTCAGAGCTGTGGGTTTATTGTTCTTATATACACATTAGTACTACCCGCAGGGTTTTGGAAAATAACCAATAAACACATACAATACACTCAGACACTCCCACACAAAATCCTCCCCTCTGCCTGTGATACAATTACCTTACACAATGGGTAATGTAATTATCACCAGCAGAGAAATACAGTTTTTCCACATTATTCATAACTTGAAAAGTATGCATCACATTCACATAAATTACATTTTCAGAATCAGCATACTCCAAATACAAACATATGTCAAAATCATCCAAATTGGTCCATTGGTTCAAAAGATACATCGAAGTCCTTTGTGACCAAATGAAGCATGGCTTTTCTGCCCAAAACCAGTTTCACAGAGTCTTCTATCCTGGAGATAATTGGGAAGTAATCCAATTATCTCAAAGGACAGAGGCAAAACTCCATTGAACACATGGCAGCAAAAGACAATAAAACACATAAAAATATTTAACTGTGCAGCCACTGCACAAAACAGGTACATTCAACATATCCCCAGATAGCTCAGATCTGAGCGCACATTATTACTGGATGGCGCTCAGAGCACACACATACAGCTCAATTGCCATGGAGCCAAAGTCTTTCCCATAGTCTTTCATTATACGAATGGGCTCCATGGCATAGCTATCACCGCTCAAACAGGGCCAGCACTGAATTACCCGGCTTTCGCAGGGGAAAATCAAGCGTTTCAACATGGGGCCATAGTCTAAAGGCAGCAGGCGGGCAACCAGGCTCCTCCAATGCACAGTGTCGAGATTGGTCTCGTCACAAAACCCATCAGAGAAATAACAAAAACATTAGGTGTAGCCAAATCAACTGTTTGGAACATCCTTAAAAAGAAAGAACGCACCGGTGAGCTCAGCAACACCAAAAGACCCGGAAGACCACGGAAAACAACTGTGGTGGATGACCGAAGAATTCTTTCCCTGGTGAAGAAAACAACAGTTGGTCAGATCAAGCACACTCTCCAGGAGATAGGTGTATGTGTGTCAAAGTCAACAATCAAGAGACGACTTCATCCGAGTGAATACAGAGGGTTCACCACAAGATGTAAACCATTGGTGAGCCTCAAAAACAGGAAGGCCAGATTAGACTTTACCAAACATCTAAAAAAGCCTTCACAGTTCTGGAACAACATCCTATGGACAGATGAGACCAAGATCAACTTGTACCAGAGTGATGGGAAGAGAAGAGTATGGAGAAGGAAAGGAACTGCTCATGATCCAAAGCATACCACCTCATCAGTGAAGCATAGTGGTGGTAGTGTCATGGCGTGGGCATGTATGGCTGCCAATGGAACTGGTTTTCTTGTATTTATTGATGTGACTGCTGACAAAAGCAACAGGATGAATTCTGAAGTGTTTCGGGCAATATTATCTGCTCATATTCGGCCAAATGCTTCAGAACTCATTGGACGGTGCTTCACAGTGCAGATGGACAATGACCTGAAGCATACTGCAAAAGCAACCAAAGAGTTTAAGGGAAAGAAGTGAAATGTTATGCAATGGCCAAGTCAATCACCTGACCTGAATCCGATTGAGCATGCATTTCACTTGATGAAGACAAAACTGAAGGGAAAATGCCCCAAGAACAAGCAGGAACTGAAGACAGTTGCAGTAGAGGCCTGGCAGAGCATCACCAGGGATGAAACCCAGCATCTGGTGATGTCTATGCGTTCCAGACTTCAGGCTGTAATTAACTGCAAAGTATTTGCAACCATGTATTAAAAAGTGAAAGTTTGATTTATGACTGTTAATCTGTCCCATTACTTTTGGTCCCTTAAAAAGTGGGAGGCACATATACAAACTTTTGTAATTCCTACACCGTTCACCTGATTTGGATGTAAATACCCTCAAATGAACCCCTTAACCCCTTAAGGACACAGCTTCAGAAGCTTGACTTACGCTTAATGACACAAGCAATTTTTGCATTTTCTTGCTGTTTGCGTTCAACTGCAATTTGCATCTCTCTCATTTATTGCACCGACACATATTATATACTGTTTTTTAAAGGACAGAAAGGGCTTTAATTTGATATAACATATATATATATAAATGCTTACTTATTATAAAAAAAATACAGAAAAATGCAAAAAAAATGAAAAATATTGTTTTTTTTACAGTTTTTGCAATAATAATGTGTGCATAATTAGTGCAGGTTAAGGAAAGTAATTAAAAATAAATTTATTTATTTGTTCTGATTTACAGAATATATAATGTGTCTGGGATTTTAAGTTTTTTTTGGTAGTTACAGGTCACAAAGCACAAGGAGTAAAATAAACTTTTAATGTGGAGCGATTTTAGAATTTGGTATGTTTGTCTTGTAAGCTTAATAGCCATAAAAGAAAACAAAATTGCCACACAAAAGTATATATTTATATAAAGTAGACATCACGGGCTATTTACCTAAGGTTGTTTTGACACTTTCTACGTAGCCATATTACCGCCAACCTCTGCTAAATATTGGAGTAAAATTGTGTTCTTTTTGGTTTTTGGCACACAAACTTATAACAGAGAAATTCTCGTGTATATTTTGTAAAGTTGGTGTGTGCTATTCCTGTACAAAGTTTTATTTTGTGTTCAGTTATATCTGCTGAGTAAAATGACACCCCCATTGTATGTCTTTTGCACTATTTCGTGAAGTTACAGTGCCATACAGGATACCTGTCCTTTTCAGTATTCACAGTAGAATTTTGAGAGATGAATTTAATGAGCCTTAGCTTCCATTTGGGGTATTATAACAGTTTGACTGTTCAAAAAAACCCCACAAAGGCCTACCATTTGTAAAAGTAGACACTCCAGGGTATCTTATAAGGTGCATATTGTGCCTTAACATGCCCCCATTTTTTCACCAATATATGCCAAAGTATATGGTAAAAAAAAATTTTGTGCATTTTTTACATACGGATTGCATTTTTGCTGGGCGTTTTGTATATTTCATATGTGCCACTAAGTTCAAACCCCCCAAATTATGCTCAGCTAAGTCTTCTGAGTAAAATGACACCCCATATGAATGTCTTTGGCACTATTTCGTGAAGCTACAGTGCCATATAGGAGACCTGTCCTTTTCAGTATTCACAGTAGAATTTTGAGAGATGGATTTAATGAGCCTTAGCTTCCATTTGGGGTATTATAACAGTTTGACTGTTCAAAAAAACCCCACAAAGGCCTACCATTTGTAAAAGTAGACACTCCAGGGTATCTTATAAGGTGCATATTGTGCCTTAACATGCCCCCATTTTTTCACCAATATATGCCAAAGTATGTGGTAAAAAAATTATTTTGTGCATTTTTTACATACGGATTGCATTTTTGCTGGGCGTTTTGTATATTTCATATGTGCCACTAAGTTCAAACCTCCCAAATAATGCTCAGCTAAGTCTTTTGAGTAAAAATACACCCCCAATGAATGTCTTTGTCACTATTTTGTGAAGCTACAGTGCCATATAGGAGACCAAGCTATATCCGTTTTTACCAAACTTTGAATTTTGACGCTGGGCCTATGTGCAATTTCCAAGCATCTTCGCAGGTTTTAAATTCAATCTACCCCACAAAGGCCTACCATTTCTTAAAGTAGACACCCCAGGGTGTTTCAAAGGTATAGTTTGAACCTTAGCGTGGGATCATTTTTCCGCTAGCTTGTACCAGATGTAGTGGTAATAAGCGTTTTTTCTGCCTTTTTGACATACAAAGTGAGTTTGCACAGTATATTTTGCAAACCTTATGTGTGCTACGACTGTATAATACTTCATATGTTGCTCAGCTATGTCGGCTGAGTACAGCAATACCCCCGTATGTACCTTTGCCAGGTATGTGTGGACATCGGAGGGGCACATTTGGGACACAGCCATTCCAGTTT